GCAGGTGTTCCACTCCTGCCGCCTCTGCCCTCTTGCTTGGCTCTGCGTCAGGCTTCCCGGGAACAGGAACCGGCCCTCTTCTCTGCCGGGGCAGTGAGTGGGGTGAGTTGTTTAGGAGCCCAATCGAGTAATCCAGGGTAATCCAGCCAGGGTTTTTCTTGGCAGGGCTTTCCTCCTTCAACCCTCTTCTCCAGCCCCCACCCACCCCCTGCCCGTCTTCAGAGCAGCCCTTATGATTAGTAAGCGCTGAGTCTGCAGGCGCTCATCCTCTGGCGCTTACTCACAGGAGCATTGGTCTTTCCCCTTCAAAACAGTGGCTCATACAGAAGAATACAACCTCACCCGTCAATCAAAACACACCATTCCCAGGAGAGAAAGAGCAAAAGATGACCACAACCGGTGGGTGGTCCAGTGTGTTGTGCAAACCCAGCCATCTGCCTGGAAGCTTGTGTTTTGACAACACAAGCGGAGGACTAAAGACTTTTTGTATTTGCAACTCAGAGAGAGATTTAAAGCTGGTAGGAAAAGCTGATAAGATTTCAATTGTGATAAAACTTTTAGTCGCCATGTTATAAAAAAGATGTTGAGACTCTGGAAAGAGCGCAGAGAAGAGCAACAAGGATGATTAGGGAACTGGAAGGTAAAACATACGAAGAACAGTGGCTGGAAGTGAGTATGTCTAGTTTGATGAAAAGAAGGACTAGGGGGTGACATGATAGCAGTCTTCCAATATTTGAGGGGTTGCCACAAAGAAGAGGGGCTTAACCTATTCTCCAGAGAAGGCAGAGGGCAGGACAAGAAAAAAATGGATGGAAACTAATCAAGGAGAAAAGCAACCTAGAACAGAGAAATTTCCTGACAGTTAGAACAATTAATCAATGAAACAACTTGCCTCCAGAAGTTGTGGATGCTCCAACACTGGAAGTTTTAAAGAAGAGACTGGACAGCCATTTGTCTGAAATGGTATAGAGTTTCCTGCCTAAGCAGGGGGTTAGACTAGAAGATCTCCAAGGTCCCTTTCAACTCTTGCCTTCTCTTCTCTTCCGTTCCGTTCCATTCTATATTAAGATGATTAGGGGACCAGTTGTAGGAGTTGGGTATGTAGGAATTGAGTATGTCTAGTCTAGAGAAAAGAAGGACTAGGGATAACATGATAGCAATATTCCAGTATTTGAGGGGCTGCCAGAAAGAAGAGATGGTCAGCCTATCCTCCAAAGCATCTTAAGGTAGGAGAAGAAACAAAGGGAGGAAAATAGTCAAGGAGAGACCAAACTTAGAACTGATGTGAAATCTCCAGACAGTTAGAACAATTAATCAGTGGAACAACCTGCCTCCAGAAGTTGTGGATGCTCCAACACTGGAAGTTTTTAAGAAGAGGCTGGACAGCCATTTGTCTGAAATGGTATGTAGGCTCTCCTCTGAAGCAAGGAAATTAGACTAGAAGACCTTCAAGATCCCTTCTGACTCTTGTTATTCTGTTAAGCTATTTTGAAAACAGAACTGTGTACAAACAATGAACCCCTTATTCCTAAAATGTATAAACTTTTATTAAAATTGGAAACAATAAGTTGTATGATAAGTTGGGCAAAAAAATTCAATATAACATACCAATTGATCAATGGGAAAATATGTGGATAAAGGGATTGAAATTTACTTTATGCTTTAACCTCAAAGAAAATTTCTATAAAATGATCTATAGATGGTATTTATCCCCAGATAAATTGGTTAAAATCTATAAAGGATCCCCAAAAAGTTGATGGAAATGTAAGACTCATATAGGAATATTTTACCACCCTGTAAAAAAGCTAAATAATTTTGGATGAAAAATTCTAAAGTAATTCAAACCATTGGAAAAATCACATGGTGCCTCATAATTATACATCACAGCTGCATGTCTTTTATATGTTCAGTATTGGAAAGATCCTATGATACACACAATTGAGCAATGGTGCCCAGGTTAATGGCCCTTATGAGAGAAAAGTCAATTAAAACAAGGAACATAGAATAATAGAGTTGGAAAGGACCTCAGAGGTCTTCTAGTTCAAATCGCCAGGACCAGATGGACTGCATCAGTGATCTCAGAACCACTGAACTATATCTTTCAAAGATCCTGGAGCACAGGGGAACTACCAGAGGACTGGAAAAGAGCTGATGTAGTTCCCATCTACAAAAAAGGGAAAAAAATGGACCCAGGAAATTACAGACCTATCAGCCTGACCTCAATACCTGGGAAGATCCTGGAAAAGATAATCAAACAACGAATCAACGAACACCTAGAGGCAAACAAAGTCATTACGAAAAGCCAACATGGGTTTGTCAAAAACAGATCATGCCAGACAAATCTTATTGCATTCTTTGACCAAGTGACAAAATTAGTGGATCAGAGGAATGCTGTGGACATAATTTACTTGGACTTCAGTAAGGCATTTGATAAAGTAGATCACAACCTACTACTTGACAAGATAGAAAAATGTGGGGTAGAAAGCACCACCACCAGATGGATCCGTAGCTGGCTGACTGGCCNTGGACTCAGGGCGGCTTACAGCCAATTAAAAACAGAACAATCAATACAAATCTACAAAATTTAAAATCAATTAAAAGATATATACAATAGGCCTATTCATGTTTTAAAATTAATTAAAAACCGGTTTAAAATATCCCTAGGCCAGTCCTGCCTGCTGAAACAACCATGTCTTGAGGGCGCGGCGGAAGGAGGGGAGATCATCTTGGTTGCTCTTCTCTGCACTCTTTCCAGAGTCTCATCTTTTTTTATTGCGGTGATCAGAACTGGATGCAGTATTCCAACTGTGGTCTTACTAAGGTTTTGTAAAGCAGTACTAAAAATTCACGTGATCTTGATTCTATCTATGGTATTAGTGCAATATATATTAATATATATTAATTAATACATAATTAGAAGCCCTTTTTGCAGGAGATGGAGAAAAATCCAATTTTGACATATGGATTTGATGATTGTTAAAATTTAAAAGGGGGAAAAAGAACTTTTTTATTTCCTCATTTCTTTTTGGGGGGAAATGGACATTTTAATACAGTCTTAACCTAAAAGTTGAAAGTAAGTGTTCTTTAAATCCTTGGAAAAATAAGTCTGAAGTCATTGTATACATTTGTTTTCTTTTCTGTTATAGCTTTTCACATTTTTATCCCTATTTTCTTTTTACTGTTTATGGTTTCTCTTGATGGTTGGATTATGTTGATGCAGCAACATGATGTCCCTGGGATTAAAAAAAAAACTTTCCCCCTCAAATAATTATTTTCTCCCCAAACTCAGGAGTTCACTTGGGAGTTTCCCTCACAAAATCTCAGGGGAAAAAACAATAAAGACTTTTTAAAAGACTGGAAGCTTTTTTAAAAATATTTTTATTAAAAGAAGACTGAATTGATGATTTAAGAATTTGGGGATTAAAAAGAATTAAAGGGGAAGGGGAAAATAAATTGGCAATTATCTGGTGGAAAGAGAGGTGGAAGTCATAATTCCATGTTTTCCCCAAAGGTGCTTCTTTTTCAGGAGGCAACTGGACTCTGTTTTCCTTTGAAGGCGTTTCGCTTCTCATCCAAGAAGCTTCTTCAGCTCTGACTGGATGGTGGGGAATGGAGGGATTTATACTCTTCCCAGCCTTCTTTTGGAGAGGCGTTGAGGCCACTTGGAGGTTTGTCTGTCTGTGTCCTCGGGGTCACCTGGGTGGTGCAAATGGGTGTGGAGCAAAGGACCAGGTGGCCTGCAAGGAGTATAAATCCCTCCATTCCCCACCATCCAGTCAGAGCAGAAGCAGCTTCGGGGATGAGAAGCGAAACGCCTTCAAAGAAAAACAAGGAAGTTCAGTTGCCTCCGGGGGGGGGGAGGGGGGGGGAAGCACCTTTGGGACAACCGGGACCTGGATGACGGAGAACCTCCATAGATCATTCCGTGTTTTCTTTCCTTTTTCCAACTTCTTTTCTGTTTCCCAGTGTTTTCATTTTTATGTTTTTGTACACCGGAAGAAACCCAGACCTGTTGGCATCCCAAAGGCACCTTTTCATTTTCACAAGGCCAAGAAAGGCGCCTTCAGCCGAAGGGCCGAAGCAGCTCCTGGGGCGAGAAGAGAGGAGGAGGAAGAAAGAATCCACCCCAGTCAGGAACCGAGCCCCTCCGCCCTCGGACGGCCCGGGGCCCTCGGTCTCCCCCCACAGGGCCCGCCGGAGGGCGGCCGGTCTCGGGGGCGGCTGCCGGCCACTCCGGGGAAAGCCGCTTCAGCGGTGGATCGGCCGGGCCCTCTCTGGGTCTCCGGCCCGGCAGAGTCTGCCCAAGGGCGGCCACCCGACCAGCCCGGCCGCTCCTTCAGGGCTGCCCCCTTCGCCCCTTCTGCGGAACCACTTCGCCCCACGGAGACCCCCAGGGAGGGGCCGCCAGCCTCTGGAGGGTTCCCCCCCCCGGGCCCCCCCTTGCCCGACCACCCCCCCCTCGGCGGCCGCTTCCCCGACGGCCGCCCTCAGCCCCGCCTTTTTGGCTCCTTCCCAGACGCCGCGGAGGGGGGGGGAGTCCGCGAAGGGAAGAGCCCCCTCCGCCCCAGGCGGCGCATGCGCAGGCCGGGAGGTCCCCCGCGTGCCGGGCAGGTGGCGGCAGCGGCGGCCTCGCAGTCACGTGACGCGGCCGGCGAGTCGTCGCGTTCCCCTCAGGCCGCTCCCGCCGTCCCCGCCATGGCCCCGCCGTCGACGGCGCTCAGGCGCCGGCCCGCCCGGGCCTCCTCCGCCTCCGCCTCGGCCTCCTCCTCCTCCTCCTCTGCTGGGAGCGCGGCGGCGTCGGGCGAGCCGGGGCGCGGCGCGGGCTGGGACTCGGGCAGCGACGTCGAGGCGGAGGCGGCGGTCGGACGGCNGCGGTCGGACGGCGCGCCAAGCGGCCGGCCAGGCGCCGCGGCTCCCCGGTAGGCAGGCGGGCGGAAGGGCGAGGGCGGCGAGGGCGACGCGGGGTGACTGACGGCGGCTCTGCCTCCCGCCCGGCGCAGGTGCCGAAGCGGGCGAGGCCGCGGGCGTCGGGCGAGGCCGGATCCGCCGGCGGCCTCTTCGAGGCGGTGAAGGCCGGCAGGAGCGCCCTGGAGGTGAGACCCGGCGGGCGGCGGCCCCGCTCCCCCCTCCCTCGACGGGGGAAGAGGGCCCGGTGGGGGGGCGGGGGGGGGCCCCGAGCGGCCTTTCCCGCCTCGAGCCCGGCCTCTTGTCGCCCCTCCTCTCCCCCCCCCGCCGCAGCCCCTGGCGGACGAGTGGCTGGAGGGCTACCGGCGGGACCGCCCCGGGGGCTTCGCGGAGCTGCTGAACTTCGTGGTGCGCGCCTGCGGCTGCCGAGGTGAGTGCGGGGCGAAGGGGGGAGCCGGGGGCCTGTGGGGGGAGGGGGGGCCGGGGGGGCGGCGGGTGGATCGTCCTCCTCCTCCTCCTCCTCTTCCTCCCCCGCTGCCTTTCTCTGGGCCCAGCAGGCGTCGTGACTCTGGAGATGCTCCGCGGCCTGCAGAACTCGGAGATCATCAAAGGCCTGACCGAATCCTTCGAGGAGGTGAGGGGGGGGTGGGGAGGGGGGTAGGCTCCCCGTCGAGGGAGCGGGTGGCAGGCACACACACACACACACACACACACCAGAGATGCAGAGACACCGTTGACTCTGATGGATCTTTCTCTCTGCACACCCCTCCCCCCCCATGCCAGGATTCGGCCGAGTACCCGTTGCTGCTGAATACTCCCACGTGGCGGCGTTTCCGTGCAGGATTCTGTGAGTTCATAGCAGTGCTTGTGCGCCGTGTCCAGCATAATGTTGTTTATGATGAATACTTGATGGACGGTCTCATTGCCTTCCTGACTGGCATGTCTGATTCTCAAGTGCGTGCCTTCCGTCATACCAGCACCCTGGCAGGTAGGGCAATATTTGGGGCAAACGAGAGGCCCCCGTGGCTTTCCTGGTGCTTGGGAGTCTCTTGCTGTGTGGTCCTTTCTCCCCTTCCAGCTATGAAGCTGATGACGGCCTTGGTGCACGTGGCGTTGAGTGTAAGCATGCAGAAAGACAATGCTCAGAAACAATATGAGACTGAGCGGGCCAAGGGACTGGGCTGCTGGGCCCCAGGGAAGCTGGAAGGGCTGTTGGAGAAACATAAGGAGGTGAGTATCTGACAGGGAGCCTGATAAAGACAACTTTTAGCTGTACTTTGTTCAGTCACAGAATCATAAAGTTAAGGGGCATCTCAAAGACCACCCAGTCTAACCCCTTTTTCAATACAGCATCCATTACTATATCATTTCTGATAAACATATAACAGTGCCTACGTTTGATGATCTTTGGCAAAGGAAAAGAACTGCCATGTGGCAGTCTGTTCCACTTGCTTATATTTTGTATAGTCAGATAGTTGTACTAATGTTTAATTTGGAATTTGCAATTTTTAATTAACTGGTTTTAGTCCCACCCTCTCAGGAAAAAGAGAAAAAGCAACTCCTCTTTTGAATATCAATTTTTGAGGTATTTGAAGACTGCTCTTATTTTCTTTTATGCAAGGTAAAATGCCAGTTAAAGGACTTGTTTGGCTGCATCTTGTTGCTTAGCCTCAAAGACCCCTGGGTCATTAATCCCTAATTTGTGCAGGATCCACTAAATCGTCTCAGAGAGATGACTATCCAGCCTCTCATTGCTACATGTGGCCACCTGACCGATGCCTCTTACCCTGAGGAACTTCCTTCTGATATCTAACTTGAACTTTTTCTTCATAGTATTAATGCATTGGTCCTGGTCCTGCCTTCCAGGGCAGTAAAGAACATGTCAGTTCTGTCATCTCTCTGAAACTTTTCAGGTGTTTGAAAACTGCTCTCAGATGGCTCCCTTCAATAGGCTACGCATACCCTCAAAAGACTTGGCTCCTGGTTCATTCACAATCTTGGTAACTCTACTTTTTTGAACATTGGTGCCCAAAAACTGGACATAGGCGTCCAAACAGGGTGTGGCCATTGAGACAAGATAGAGTAGAACAGTTCTTTCCAATGTCTAGGTTTTGTGTACCTTTTAACGTGCCCTGAGGTGGATTTACCTGTTTAGAAGTTACATCACGCTGCCATCTCATGTTTGATGTGCAGTAGACATGGACATGAAATCCCTTTCCCATGTCCTCCTACTGCCAAGCCATTTTCCCCCCATTTAATAACTACACCTCCATTTTCCCTACTTAGATGCAGAATATTTCTCCCTGCCCAGTGCTGTTGCTCAAATCTGGAATTGTTTTTTCCCCCAGTCTTCCATCTAAATTATTTCCACCTAAAATATTTCCCAGCTTAGTGTTGGCTACAGACTCCATAAATCAGGTTCCTCCACCAAGTTATTAATAATTAGTATTCAACACCACAGAGCCAAGGATAGAGGTTCTCCAAAGATGCTCTCCTTCATGCATTAAGGGGACATTAAGATAAGAGACCAAAAACACCTCACCAGCAATCAGCATCCAGATGAGCAGAGATTAACAGCAAGATTAACATTAGATCAACAACCAAGAAGCGAGCAATACCCCCAAGGAGGCTAACGGTAAACGGCCCAACCAAGGAACCACCAAGGCCGCTCCCACCACCCACACTGACAGAGCAAGCCACCAGGACATAAATTGAGAGCAAACCCCACTCTCTGCTAGCACTGATGACGTCATATATTTCGGTTAGGAAACATCTGTAAGGAAACCACCAAACAGAGCACCAAGGACCCCTCATTTCAACCCTGAGCTACAAACATTCTCCATCGGGACCACATACCAGCGCCAGATGCTTCAGAATGCCCACAGGTGGGAGACATTTGTGCGAAGGCTCTCTTTCACCAAGGAGAAGCTATTCCTGCCTGCCTGCCTGCCTGCAGGAATGCCTACAACAGCATCCTCTACCCACCACTGCCAGATACAAACCTCCAATAAACCGCACGGCTGGATGGAAAATAGCCCAGGAGGGTGGGTGAAAAATGACGTGACTTAACAATCACAGATACAAACCTTCAACAAATATCAGCATACGGTGGCAAACCTCAAGGAGCAGCTGGAACAGACCATCACACCAGGGCACGTAGAAAGGCTGGCAACCACCATCAAGACTCTCCCAGAGATGTGCCGGAAAAAGGAAAATCAAACTACAAATCAAACTGCTTAAACCCCAGAATCAAAGAGGCAGCAGAGCCCAAATGGGTGGTCAACATGTCCAGACGTCCATTATCCACTTCTTCTTGTGCCATATCCGTTTTGACCACTCAACCCAGCGTAGCACAACCGACACAAGCTGTGAAAAGGACAGGCATTGAGGGGACATGAAGAAGATAAAGAGTTCATCTTATCAAGACCATCACAAAAAGACCCCCTCACCAGCAGTCCACATCCAGATGAGCAGAGATTAACACCACCATTAATATCAGATCAACAACCAGGAAGCAAACCAGACCCTAATCAAGCTAACGGTAGATAGCCCAACCAAGGAACCACTGGGATCACCCCCCCCCCGCCCCCTCCGACAGAGCGAGCCACCAGAATGTAAAAAAAGAGCAGACCTTACTCCTTGCTAGCACTGACGATGCGGTAGTGAAATGTCTGCAAGGAAACAAGCCTGGCACGGAGGACCTCCCACTTCAGCCGTGAGCTACAGAAATATTCTCCACCAGAGTTCACCTTGCACAATTTGTGATCGCCCCTGCTGACTGCTGGTAATTGTAGCATGGCCCTTCAAGCATTTCATCGCCTGTTTTGAGGGCTTTGCCAAGTATAGTCATCACGATGACAGCATCTGTAGCTTTTCCTGGCTTCTCCTCCCTGTTCTGGTTTTATAAAAGTTTGGGCCAATTCATGGAAATCACGGGGATCAGTCCTAGTCTCGGGAGCAGCGGGACTGCCTCTGAAGGCCATCTGCCGGGAGATTAGTGGGCTTTCTGGTGCGGTGGGTGTTGCGTATATTCTTAAGGGGATGGTTTTGTTCTGCTCCGATCTGAAACCTCACTGGACCTTTGGGAGTTCGTGATAATATCACTGAGGACGGTTTTGTCCTCGCTGCTGGTTCCTTCTGTGCATTGGGAGGCAACCCATCTTGTCCTGGAGCATGAATTGAGTGGAAATAATTAAGGCACCCCTATCCCTTTCTGGTCTATCCTAAAAATCGGGAGGAGTCTGGTAGCACATTTTCAAGTTAACAAATTTGACTACGGGTCGTCCTGAGGGATAGGACCCTTCGCTTAATGGCTGTTTGAAATTATGACTGACCTCTCAAAAGGCTGCTACATAGGACCCTGTATTGAAGTTATGGCCTCGGCTGCACTCCTGCAGTCATTGGTCCTTAACGACCAATCACAAGGATGCTGCAGCTGCCCCCCCGCCTCTCCCAAATTGTCCCACCCTGCGGGGACCCCGCAGGGTTTTGGCTGCTCCCCACATGCCTGTCACCCGTCACCCGCCTTTTGAGGATTCCAGGACCTCATCTTGCAAAAGAAGGGGAGCCCGTGTGGGCATGCCAAAATATCACCTGTGGGATAAGCTGCTCCATTTTTTTCTGCCTTGATGCAGTCTGCACATAGCTGCAGAACAGTGAGGGTATAACAGTTGGAAGGGATGCTGGAGGTCCTCTAGTCCAACCCCCTGCTCAAGCAGAAAAGTCTATACCATTCTAGTTAGATGGTTGTGCAATCTCCTCTTGAAGACCTCCAGAAGATGGAGCATGCCCAACTTCTGAAGGCCAGCTGTTCCACTGGTTAATTGTTCTCACTGTCAGGAAATTTCTCCTTAGTTCCAGGTTGGTTCTCTCCACGATCAGTTTCCATCCGTTGCTTCCTTGTCCTGCCCTCTGGGGGGCCTTGGAGAAAATGCCTTCCCCCCCTTCTCTCTCTGTTGCAGCCGCTCAAATACAGGAACACCCCAGACCTTCTGTTCCTCATTAGGGTAGACAGACCCAGTTCCTGCAACCGTTCTTCGTGTGTTTCTCTGCCCTCTTTCCAGAGTCTCTAAGATCTTTCTGCATTGTGGTGACCAAAACTGGATGCCGCATGTCAAGCGTGGCCTCTGTCTTTTTGTTGGCATGCCTGTCTCCACTTTTTAGGCAGTGGGTGGTGCCCATGTAGAAGGGTTTTCTTTGTAACATTTGCTGGCTCATTGCCAAATTTTCGTTTGGTCATTGAATTCACGCTCTGGAAACTGGATTTTTTAAAACTATCCTTGAGCTAGGCCAGCAAAATCAGTGCTCTGATCAGAGATACCGGGCACTCACTTGGCAAACTGCCTGCACAATTGCCAGTTATAGGAATTAAAATTACTCAGTTCTGACTGCTTTTGAAAATCTCACGTGAGATTTGAAGGATAAGATTTTAGAAAAGTTTATTTCTTTTTGTATGCATAGACTATTACCCCTTGGTGTCTAGTTCCCAAAATTATTGCCAGTTCCATGTTTTATAAGTTTCCGTTTCCTCCCAGTTGGGGCAGTTTTGTGAATACAAACAGCATCGTATAGTCACAATAGGGGCAGCACTGTCTCTAAAGTAGGAATGGGGAGAGGACTTTACCTTCAAGGTTGGCTTCTTTTCCCCTGGGAATGAGTGATGGCCGGGAAACCGTTCTGGAAGGTGGACAGTTTTACAGTGAAGAAGGGAAACAGAGTATGTGGAAATGAGTGGATGTGAAAGAATACAAGGAAGGAAGGAAGGAAGGAAGGGAAACTTTAAGGGAGGGGAGATGCTGTAAATGAAGGAGAATGTTTAGGGGCAAGGAAAACAGACCGGTGGGATGCAAACATGGCTGGAGAAACTGAAGATTTGAGTGGACGGAGCAGTTGGATAAGAGTTGGAGGAGATGGTTACTGAAGGTGTGGGGAGTATATAAACTGCACAAGGGGCGTGAGGGAATCCCCTTCTTACTCCAAAGCACCAGAGGGAAGGACAAGAAACGACGGTTGGAAACTGACCAAGGAGGGAAGCAACCGGGAATTAAGGAGAAACTTCCTGACAGTGAGGACAATTAACCAGTGGAACAGCTGGACACTAGAAGTTGTGGGTGCTCCATCACTGGAGATTTTTAAGAAGAGACTGGACAGTCACTTGTCTGAGATGGTATAGGTTCTGCTTGAGCAGGGGGCTGGACTAGAAGACCTCCAAGATCCCTTCCAGATTCCATTCCATTCCATATTTTCTATTCTATCCCATCCCATTCTATCCTATATCCTGCCCTATCCACATCAGGGAGGAAAGGAGTTTTGGAGAAGGCAGCTTCAGTGAAGAAGCAGTTTGGATTCATCCATGGGGCTGATCAGGAGCAGAGGCTGCCTGGGATCAGGACTCACTGCTTGGCTTCCTCAAATGGAGATGCCAAGTGGTGGCCTTTGGCCTTTCGCTATTTTGTCTAATCATCAAAAATATAAATCATGAGTTCCCTTTTTTTCTTTTTCATGCAAAAAGCCCATAAAGGGTTTCCAGTCAGCAATAAATACAGATACTGCCTTTTCTCGATCAAAAAAAGACAATTTAGCTATCTCAGCAAATTCAATAACCGTCCCTCCATTGTGGGCTATGCCGCATCTGTAAGGTCCTGCCTCAGCTATGTACTCCGGAAAGCCTGAGCCCTGAAACGAGCCTCATGTCAAAAGGATCTTTTACTGAGAGGAAGCGATTGCAGAGAAGCCGGGCGAGCGCTGGAGTTCCTGCGCGAAGCGTTAAGCTAATTCCCCATCATTCAAACGCCTTCACCCCAGCGCCCCAGCCCATCGGGAGCCACTCCGCTGGCGTGAAGGCGTTTTGAGAACAAGTTGGCCGTTGGAGAGGTTCTTGATCCAGGCTTGTTCATTGCTGTGGGGGTTGTTGGCTGCTAGTCTGGATAGCTTGCTTTGCAGGGCAGTGTGCTTCTTTTGTCTTGTGTTTGTGTTTAAACTTTGCATGAGTTGTGGTCCAGTGGTGCTGCTGCCTAGGAGGTTTTGCTCAGTGAGGCATTTTATGTGGTAGTTGAGGCAGTTGTGAGCCTCTGTTATCATCAGCAGTCGGACCCCGTGTCTTCCGCTCGGTCTTGATGTTGTCCATGGTGCTGGATGACTGATAACAAGTCGTTCCCTGTCCCCACGACCTTGGTAAGAGGTAAAGGAGTCCTCTTTGGCCCTGATGGCCCATCTCCCCCCTCCCTAATTCCCATGCAGACCCATCAAAATGAAAGCATTCACTTCTTCAGTCCCCAGGTAACCATTCCCTCCCCTCCCTCCCCAGGAGTGGTAGCGTTCCGACAGGGACCTGACAGCAATAATCTCAACTGCAGTTATGTACAGGAACAGTTCCATGCCTTCTTTTTTTCCCAAGTGTTTGTCCATCAACCCCCAAATAAAAACCTCTGGCCTCAATTGTATATGAATGTTTAACATCCTATGAATCAGTCTGTATTTGCAACCAGAATTTTTTTAGGTTTTCTTTTTAATACATCCAGCTAACATGACAAACTGTCCCTTCTTGTTCACATTTCCAACCTAAATTTGAAGTGCCTTTATATGTTATAGATAATTTATCTGGTGACATATATCAACAATACTTTATTCTATAAAAATTATTTTTAGAATTATAGCATAAATTTCAATTGAGCAGTGTGGTGGCCTAGCAGTGAAGAGGCTCACCTCCCACTCGGAAGGTTGAGAGTTCAGTCCTAGGCAGGGGCAGATGTTTCCCTCTCTTAGGGCGCAGAGAAAAAATACCTGCTGCGAACTCCACCCCACGTAGGCCTCAGGGTTAGGGTTGGGGTCAGTAAACACTCGGCTCCATCTGGGTCGCCCTGACTCTGAATTAAGGGATTACAGGGTCGTAAAAAGGGAGTTTTTTAGTATAAATTTCAATTCCTTTATCCAAATACTTGTCATTGTTTCATCGTATATTAGAACCAAAGTGTTTAGCCCATTTTAGCCTACATTTTTTCACTTGTTCCTCTTTTTCAAATCCCAATAAGTTTATATATTTTAGCAATTATATGTTCAGCATTGATATCCAATTCTCTTTCAAACTCAGTTTTACAGTGTTCAAAACCATAAATTATTTTATCTAAACCTTTCTAAAAGTTATAAACAAGACGACCGCTGACCGCTATTATCTCTCTGCCAGCAATTCACCTGTTTTTAGTTCCAGGAGAAGCAAGAAGAGCTGGAGACCTTGATGAATGCTCTCTTCAAGGGAGTCTTCGTTCATCGCTATCGGTGAGTGGCGTCAGGGCATGCGCGAAAGGAGCAGGCTCAGGATCTGGACCCTGATGGCTATCCCGGCTGTTTGCTTTCCAAGGGACCTCATACCTGAAATCCGGGCTATTTGCATTGGAGAGATGGGTGAGTGGATACAGCATTACGCCGCCTCCTTCCTAACGGACGGTTACCTCAAGTACATTGGCTGGACTCTTCATGACAAGGTGGGTCGCCAGGACACTTGCAGAAAAAAGTATTTGTAGGACATTCAGGAATTAAAAGTTTATGCAAGGATCATGAGCCCATCTGCTTATTTGTATAGAGCTATGCAAAACATTTGAACCAGATGCTTTGTAGCAGACGAGAGCCTGCCCGTAGCCTGCCTGTTTTTGAAGTGCTAAAGCAGCCACAACTTCTTTCAAGACGGGCTCTTCTTCAAAAGATGCTCCCAGCTGCCTCTGCTTTGCAAAAGACACGGGTGCTTTAATGATTTGAAAAAGTGTTCTGCATATGCCCTTTGCATGTTGTGAAGGATCTCTTTCAGATGCTCTGCGCAGCTACACTGTTGTCATCCTCTTTGGATTGTTGGTGCTAATTCAGTACAGTTGGATGTATCAGAGTGGCATTGGTGCCCACTCCTCTTTACCCTGACAAGAAGAAATCCTTGGATTGGCGGCCGTCGTGACTCTTCCTTGCCCATTCTACCCAGGCGCCTCTGCAGCACTTCCACCCGAGGGAAGGGAGGCTGCCAGGTGCCCCCAGTTATATCAGTAGCTGAGCCAGGAAGGATGAGTTAGCACTGTTACTGCTCTAATGACCCTAACTGGGAGATCTGAGGTTGCGGTCGCTGAGGGAAGCGGTCACATGACATCTCACTTTAACAGCCACTTCGCTCAGCGACAGGGATTCTGGGCCCGATCTGTACAGCGTGATCCGGTTCTCTTTCTCATTCCAAAGCTGCTCGCCGGGCTTGATCCTGGTGGTCTTAAAGCTGCCCACCAGGTAAAATTTTCCTCATCTTTGAGTGAGCAAGGAATGCTTCGTATCCCATCCCCCACATCTAGAAGGGAAAGGGGTTGGGGGTCTTAGAAGTATATCTTTCCTGTTGCAACCTCCTCCTTAAGGAACTCTGCAAGTCCCCTAGAGTAGGGGTGGCCTCCTTCCTATTCATACTCAGAAGAAAACACGGTGCTATTTAACCAGTTCTGGATCTTAATATTAGTGGGTGTGTTTAAGAAAAAGCCAGGTGTCCCATTTGTCTGTGAGGCTTTAATTTAAATCTCTCTACTAAACGGAGGACCAGGCTTGATGGCCGATTAGAGGTTGTTCCAGTTCTGTAGGATTTTCTTCTTCTTCTGTATGTTGATTCATGTATTGGGATTGTTATACAGCAAAACCCTTCAGCAAACACACACACCCCGTGTCTGTGTATTGATTGTGATGATTGAGAGAAGAATGAAGTTCAAACAGAGATGAGGACTTTTCCTAAAATTGAAACCCCTGAGTTGAAGCCCCCTCAGGACTGAATGCAGGCATCCAAATTGCATCGCCCCTGATGGAGAGCTTAGGTCACTTGTATTCTCCCTTTTCCTGGTCTTGCAGTAACAGGGCTGTTCTTCTGAGTTGTGCATTGTGTGGTAATAAAGAACAACTTAGGATATGCCCATTTAGGTTATCATGCTGACTCGGTCTTTGCTTCTTAAGGGTCAAATGCCTCTCGATTGAACAATTTCCAATTTTTGACCACTTTTGTTGCCCTTGCCACTTTCTGAACCTGATGCTGGTGGGGTTTCTTGCCGGAGTCTGACAAATGCAAATTCAGTAGAGAGGGAAAGACTTGGTGTTACTCCTTGCAGTTCTTAGACGGCCTTATTTGATTTTGGCTCTGACCCAGGCTTTTTTTTTGTCTTGCAGCAGGGGGAGGTCCGGCTCAGGTGCCTCCTTGCCCTGCAAGGCTTGTACGGCAGCCCAGAGACGGCCTTGCAGATGGAGCTTTTCACCGGTCGCTTTAAGGTAAGCAGCCAGAATGTTTCCCACTAGCTTTGACGGCCAGGGGTTGTATTGGTAGGATAGGCCACTCTGCCCTCCGTTTCTCTTAACTGCATACTCTGGAAACATCCACGTTTCCCCTTGCTGCTATCTCATCCCTAGTTCATGAGCGAGAATCCTCAAAAGGTTGTTGGGAGTTGGGCAATATATAAATTAAGTAAGAAACTAACAAAAGCTTTCAGAAATAAACTAGGCAACCTGTAACCTCTTGGGTCACGGTTTCATAGATATTTCCTTCCCTAAACAGAAGATCAGAATGGCCACGGGTGGGAGTGAGGAGCTACTTCGGACCTTCCTTCCAGCATCCCCATTGGCTCTAGAAAGAGTGCAGAGAAGAGCAGCCAAGATGATCAGGGGGGCTGGGGGCTAAAACATAAAAAGAACGGTTGCTGGAATTGGATATGCCTAGTTTAATGAAAAGGACTAGGTGTGACATGATAGCGGTCTTCCAGTATCTCAGGGGCTGCCCCAAAGAAGAGGGAGTCAAGCTATTCTCCAAAGCATCTGAAGGCAGGACAAGAAGCAACGGACGGAAGCTAATCAAGGAGAGAAGCAACCTGGAACTAAGGAGAAATTTCCTCTGTTAGAACAATTAATCAGTGGAACGGCTTGCCTCTGGAAGTTATGGATGCTCCAGCACTGGACATTTTTAAGAAGAGACTGGACAGCCATTTGTCTGAAATGGTGTAGGGTTTCCTGCCTGAGCGAGAGGGTTGAACTAGACTATGGAGATCTCCAAAGTCCCTTCCAACTCTGTTATTCTGTATATTGATTCATGTATTGGGATTGTTATACAACAAAACCCTTCAGCAAACACCCCCGTGTCTGTGTATTGATTGTGATGATTGAGAGAAGAATGAAGTTCAAACAGAGATGAGACTGGAGGCAGGTTCCTAGAGTCACGTATTTACGTGGTGGAGGTTCAGTGCCCCTGTGGCAACTTGCATAAACTACAAAACGTTGACAACAAAGATACATAATGATTACGTAAAACAATAAGCCAGCAAGCAGAAACATATTTTATCTGTGGAGTACAGAAATATACATGCGATGCACGTATGATGTCGGTATCCTCCAGTTGTTGTTTTTCTGCAGGAACGGATTGTGTCCATGGTTCTGGATAAAGAGCCCCAAGTGGCAGCGGAAGCTGTGAGGCTGCTTACCCTCATCCTTCAGTAAGTGGTGCCAGAGCAGTCTGGAGGCCCTGTTGGCATTTGAATTACTCCTCAGAGTCAGCGTTCTCTGCGCTGGCGGAGGGTCCCCTCTGTGTGCTTTGGGCCTGCCTACACCCTACACCCTAGCAGTGCTGGGGACTGGCGTTTTCAGGTGCACTGAAGGCTGGTCTCTGTGCAGGAATACGGACGGTGCCCTCACGGATGCCGACTGTGAAAGGGCCTTCCCACTGGTTTATGCCTCCAGTCGTCCTGTAGCTGCTGCTGCGGGTGAATTTTTGTACAAAAAGTAAGGTTTTGTCCTCCGCCCTCCCTCCCTCCCTCCCTCCCTCCCTCCCTCCCTCCCATGCACCTCAGCATTCTGAGGAAGCCCTCTGTGGTGCACGGGAATGCAATTTCCTGCTTCTTCCCAAAGATTTCTGACTTGGCCTCTGTTTCCTAACGGTGGCTTGGCTTGTAGGTTGTTGGCACCCAAGGTGGATGCCAGGGGGAAATCGGGGGACCGCCACGAGGCCACGCGTGTCTTCCTTCAATTGCTTTTGGTGTTCTTTATTGAAAGCGAGGTGAGTGAAAAGTTTGAACCCCAAAGGGAAGGTTCAGACAGAGCCCCCGGGACCCTTAGCCAGGCTGGCTTTACTGCAGTGTTCTGTTCTCCGCCCACAGTTCCACGACCACGCCGCCTACTTGGTCGATAGCCTGTGGGACTCTGCCTCTGCCCTGCTGAAGGACTGGCAGGTGCCGACAGGCCTTCTGCTGGAGGAATCCCCCGTAGAAGGTGAGCAGAGGTGGATGGGCTTTGGCTCACGTCAGCTCTTGGCTGTTAATTGAATGGAAAAAATGTGCTCTCCGGCTTCCTTAAAACCCACCCAGAATTTCGGAGATCCCTCCCCGAGGATATCTGCCCACGGATGTAGCCGGAAGTTGGCGGTGAAGTGCGCAAGTGGCTGTTATGTGACTGTGGAATGCCGTGACGGTTATAAACACCCAAATTTTGATCACATTATTGTGCGGATGCTGCGACAGCTGTGAGTGTGAGCACTGGTTGTGAAGTGCTGTTGTAACTTTGAACAGTCGCTAAACGGGACAGTCATTAAGCAAGGACTAGCTGGAATACCTCTCAAGATGGCATTGTCCTTCCCAGCAGCTACATCGCACTGTGGATTCACGTTGAATGTGATTGACGGGGATACCCTGATCTTCCCATGTATTCTTCCTCACGAATCTTCCTCATGAAAGTAATTGCAAGATTACTTAAAGCAGACCTGCCGTCCTCTCCTCACGTTCCTTCTGGAGTTTCTGGGTTGAACCTGGAAATCCGTTAGTTTTCTTACAGTGATGACCCGTTTCCCTTCTCAGAGAAGGCCGACACAAGGAAGTCTAGGCCGTGCTTCTTCTTGTGCCACTGCAGGCTGACTGCTCTCTCTGGGCTGCATCTAGGTGGGGCTTCCCGTTCATTTCTCACTTCCCAAAGAACTTGTACTTCAACGGGAGAGACTTCCTGTAGCTCAGGGTTGAACTGTGGAGCCCTTGGTGCTCTCAGAACATGGTTATTCGCTTGCAGGGGTTTCATCACAACCAACTAACATCAGTGCTGCTGAGTGGGAGTTCTGCTCCAATTAAAGCCCTACATAGCTAAGACAAAAGTCCCAGGAGCCCTGTAATACAGCATAAGGACCGTAACAGCCGCTATACAGGACAGGCGGGCGGAAGACGGGCAGGGTTCATCCGTGAACAAAAACCAGTAGCCGGAAGATCCGATGAAAACTGCTTAATCTCACCACACATACGGAAAGTCTCATCCACATTCCCCCCTCCCCCCCCGGGGAAGAAGCACCCTAGACCAAGCCAAATCCAAAAATGCCAGGGAATTCCTGGAAACTTGGCATTTAGACTAATCAGCCATCCCTAGATAACGTAGAGATAAACCAGATTTATACATCAGAGACAATAAAAAGGCTAAGAAGGAAACAAAAGACCAGAAGACCTACTTTGCAGCAGCCAGCACCCCAATAAGCAGGGACTAACACCAGACAAACACGCAGAAAACAACAATCAAGGAAACACCAAGGAGAAAACGACACCCCCACCAGCGCTAGCAGGGCAAGCTACTGTGCATAAACAAGGAGAAAACCCCACACTCTCACTCTCACTTGCGATATTACCTTTTTGGGCAATGAAACGTCTGGAAGGAGGAAACCACCAGGCTCAGAGAGCACCAAGGCCTCTCTGTTGTGATTGCTCTCTTGTGCAAGCCTTCATCCATTCTGAGCTTTAGCTTTTCTGACACGATTGCTGTAGTTACTGGAAGTACTTTATGTTCTTTGGTTGTGTTCCTCTTCATGCTGGGAAGAAATTGTGCACACTGCATTTTGCTCTTCGGGCCATTGAGAAACATGTGATTGTAAGAAGTAAATTTATTTTGTGTTCGTAATTTTAGCAAAAGCAAAACTATCGTGAAAGTAAATAGGAAACTGAATTATGGAATGTTTGATATAAATATGGTGAGGATAGTAGTAAATCATGCAGGAGAATGCTTGGCAAGCGGGTCATCCCTGAGGGCAAGGATAAGCGTGGGGATCCCTTATTAGGAGAAATATCTAAGGGAATTATCCAGGGTTTTTCAAGAAGACTTGGCAGTTTATATTTAAAAATTCTGCTTATTGCATCCAATTAGAAATAAAGTTAAACTGGTGCTTCTTTATGGATATTGCAGTGTAATTCTCCTGCAAATTTAGGGAACTGCAGCTGCACGTTTAAGGACTACTACGGGTTGTGATAGTTGTGCAATGTGGGTTCGTTCTGTGTGTTAGATGCTCCCTAGCTCAAGCGCTGTGTTTCTCAACAGGTCTGGGTGATCTCAAGGAGAGCAGCCTCATTTTGATCTTGGTGGCCAGCATGCGGCAAGCCACCGAAGGGCACCCACCAATCGGCAGGTTCTCTGGAAAGAAGGTAACCTCCCTGGCGCTTCCCCACCTTTCACGAGGACGGGCCGATTCCTGCCATCTCCTCCTCCTCCTCCTCCTTCTTCTTTCCCGCTTTGTCAGGTATTCTCTGCTCGGGAACGCAAAGTGCAGTCCGAAGAGCGTTCAAGGCTCACGCAGCATTTTGTCCCTCTGCTGCCCCAGCTGCTGGCTAAGGTGAATGCATTCATCTCTTACCAAATGGGAGGAGAAACCAAAGCATTCTGTTCTGGTTGGGATGTGGCCCCGCCTGCTGGCTCTAGAGGGCTGTCCCAAAATTGCTTTTCAACTTTTTTTTATCCTCGAAAACAATTTGCTTCTCATCTGAGAGCCTCCTTCAGTTCTGCCTGAATGGTGGGGAATGGAAGGATTTGTACTCTTTGCCGTCGTCGTTATCCCTCTCTGAGAGTCACTGAGGCCACTCGGGGGGGGGGGGGGGCGTTTAATCTGTCCCCTCTGGGATCCTGGACGGTCGATGCCCTCGGCTTTCCTCCCAAGGAGCAGCGTGTTCTGTTCTGTTCTGTTCTGTTCGGGCCCTCAGCCCTCCCTTCTCTGCTCTGTCCCGGCAGTTCTCTGCGGATGCCGAGAAAGTGGGACCCCTGCTGGAGGCCTTGCGTTACTTCGACCTGACCTATTACAGCACGGGCCGTCTGGAGAAGGTGGGAGGCCCCTGCCGTTACCTGTACCGTGTTTCTCCTCCCAAGGAGGCACTTCCTCCTCCTCCTTCCCCCGATAAATCCTACTCTCCCCCCCCCCACCCCACCCCAAAAGGCTAGCCCTTGGACGCTGCCGCCGGGGTGACGCTCTCTGACTCTTCCTCCCAGCACTTAGACTTGCTGCTGACCCAGCTAAAGGAAGTGGTGGCAAAGCACAGGAGCCGCGAAGTGCTGGAGCTGGCTTCCCAGACTCTCCAGCTGCTCTGCCGCACGGAATTCGCCTTCTACAGCCGTGTGGATTTTGCCCGTAGTTGCATTATGGACTATCTGGCGGATAAATTCCAGCACGACGCTACTGAACTCCTCCAGGTAGAAGAACTGCCCCATGGCGGCGGGTGTTTGGGCATGAGTGAGTTTTCGGAGCAAGAGCAGTTTGGTGGTAGGATTCTGGCCTGGAGTTCGCGAAGAGCTGCCTTGAAATGTGGGCCTGGAGGGAGAGGGCGCCTAGCCTCGGGCATAAGTTAGTTGCCTTCTGACATAATCGTAGTAAAGGAGCAATAGGTGGTGGTCTACTTTGTCAAATGCCGTACTAAAGTCCAAGTATGCTGTGTCCACAGCACTTCACTGGTCCACTAATTTAATCACGAGACAGACTTTCACACTGGGACGGAGGCTTCGAAATATTTCTAGCAGGACTACTAGATTCTGCAACAGCTTTGTTCCTTATGCTACTCGTCTTGTAAAGTCGCAGGATTCTTTTTTTCTCACCATATATATGTATACATCCAAACTAGACTGTGTTGTTTCTCTGTGTCATATGTGTGTGCAGATGTGGGTATATACATAATTTTTTGTCATGTTTATGTAGTGTATATTGGAGGTGGTTACCCTTTGAGAGCTGAATGCAATGAAATTTCATTTTAATATATGCTGATTAGTGACACCAAGGATGAAAACCCCATTGAAAGTGTCTAGATAATAATGACGTGGCTGTAGGTATGTGCTATGGGCCAATCCAATTCTCCTGGGCCAGATGGAGGGCAGGTCCCAGAGTGTCACAGAGGAACCGCTGGGCACCGACTCAGAGCAACTGGCTGAACTCTGCCCAGAGAAGCCCAGAAGACGGGAGAGGAGCCGCCAATCTTGTTGCCGTATTTCAGAAAGGGGGGAACCCAGCAGACTCGGGAAACGAGGACCAGCCACCTTGACATCCATACCTAGGAAAATCCTAGAAAATATAGTGAAGCCGTGGGTTCCGTAGGCGTTTGGAAAGGGGCAAGGTGGTTTCCCAGATCTGTCGGCACGGGTCATGCCGACGAAGCTTGCTGCTTTCTTTAAATTAATTTAAATAAAATTAAATTCTTTGACAATGTGATACTTGATTGGTGGACCAAGGGAACGAAGCCCTGTGCTCAGACTTCAGTAAGACATCCGATTGACCACAGTCTCACTGATAAACCGGGTCAGAGAGAGATGGGACAGCCTCATTCCCAGATGGATTTGCAGTGGACTGAATGACTGTGGACAGCATGTGGCCCTTAAGGGTCCACCTGGAAGGAGGGAGGTGCAGCAGGGCACCCCGGGGTTCTGTCTCGGACCTTCACGAAAGACTTAGATGGGGGAACTGAAGAGATCTTCATAGAAGACGTTTTGGGGGACACAAAGCTGGGGGGAGGGGTTGCTAGCGCTCCAGAAGACATGCTCCAGGCTCAGAAAGATCCCGACAGACTTTCAACACTGGCCCTGAGGCATCACCATGTTCATCGGTGAGAAATGCAAAAAGCAGATGCACAGGTACAAGATAAGGGATCCTTGGCTCCACCCTAGTATTTGTGAGAAGAATCTGGGTGTCGTGGTAGATCTCAGATTAAGCCTGAGCCAGCAATGTGCCACAGCTGCCAAAAGAGCCAATGCCGTTTTTGGCTGTGGAATTGGAAAGAGTTTAAAGAGTGACAAGGATAGTAAAAGGCTTGGAGTCTAAATCCTACCAAGAGCGGTCGAACTTGGAACGTTTAGCCTAAGGAAGGGAAAGCCGAGCGGAGACACAACAGCCGTCTTCCCATCCACGGAGGGAAGCCACAGGGCAGGCAGTCAGAATTTATTCCCTGTAATGCCCCAGGGCAGGACGGGAACCAGGAGACGGAAGCCTCTGAAGGGAGATCCCGACTTGAAATAAGGAGGATTTCCCCTGCCCGGGAGACTGCCAGGCAATAGAAGAGGCTGCATTCTGAAGTGGCAGGTGTTCGGTCACTAGAGGTTTTCAAGAAAAGATTGAACCATTTTTGTCAGGGATGCTGTTGAGGGTTCCTACTCTGAGCCTGGGGTTGGTCCTCACGTCTGCGATTCTGTGTCTGGATGTTCCTCCCTCGTGTGGAGGAGGAGAAGCACCTTGCATTGTTGTTTCTTCGTTCTTCTCTTGGCAGTCCTCATTCTCTGAGCAGGAGGAGGTGTACAGCATGGCTACCACGTTAAGACGCATTGCCTTCTTCCACAGGTGAGTGGACAGTATTCAGCCTGGCCGTGTCCATGCTGTTTTGTCCAAGGTCCCTGCCCCAGTGTAGAGCTCTTGCAGCGGGTCCCCCGCAGCAGTCTCCAGCACAGGCATGGCGGCGTCTCTGGTGAGCGTCCAGGGGCCGGCCCTTGCTCCTTGTGCCCTTTTCATCCGCAGCGCCCACGACCTGACTCCCTGGGGGTTCTTCCAGCCCTGCGTCCGTCTCCTGCGCCACCTGCTGAACACGGGCGAGGCCTACGAGCAGGTACTGGGCCAGCTGAGCTGGGCACCTCCCTGCTTGGGACACATTCTTGCTCGGTCGCTCTTCCGCCCTCCCAGGGGGCCTTTTCTTGCTTTTGGCAGGAGCCCCCGGGGGTCACGTGCCTCCCCGCTGCCTCCCCTCTTCTCCTTGCAGGTGGTGATCCCTGCCATGACTTGCGCCCACTTCTCGTTGCTCTGGGAACTGTCCCGCTGCTCAGCCGTGGCCGTCCCTGACCAGGTGAGCAGGTGTTTGGGATTTTTAGCCGGGCCCCTTCCTGCCAGGCCTTCATGCTTCCCTTTCCATCCCCAGCAGCAGCTGCTCAGCCTCAAGGACAAAGTGGCTGCCTTTTGCTCCCTCTGCCAGAGCTGCCTCGTGGACGTGGAGCCCTGTGTCCAGGAGCAGGTGAGGGGCCTCCGAGCCTGACCCGGGGGCGTGGGGGGGTGGGGGTGAGGAAATGAGATGGGGCAGGGGCAGGGTCGGTCTTTCGCATTTTCCACGGGCCTCTGCTGGGCAATGGATCAAGGGAAGGGAAGGTGGGAGAAAGGGCTTCTGAGCTGGAGTGTACTTCATCATGTGCCTTAAACTGTAACTTCAAGGGGTGTGTATGTCTGTGTGTGTGTGAGAGAGAGAGAGAGAGAGAAAAGGAAGAAGTGAGATACTTAATTAGTACAGGTGGTCCTAAAGTGAGGGTCTCCCATTTAGGAACAGTTCCACATTACAGCAGCGTAGAAGGCGGGAGGGTGGGGGAACCTGTGGTCAATCCTCAGAGTTGCGGCATTGCATCATCCCACACAGTCCCCATTTCTCACCTGCCCTGCCTGTTTCCCACAAGCAGAGTCAACGGGGAAGACAGAAGGAGACCTGGGGTCGCTCCCACAAGATGCTCCTTACCCCTTCCGGGTCTTTCCCGGAGGGGCCCCGGCAGCCGGTGGGCATCTGGTATTCTGCAGTGCCTGCCCGCCCTCCTGCGTCAGCACCCGCCCACAGCCACCCTCCCGCGATTCGCAATGCTTGCTGGCAGCCCCTCCCATGCTCCGTAGCCCCCTTTGTGACGCCCGCCCCCCCCCATATGGTTGCCTGGGACACGGTTTCAGTGCTTCTTCCCCCATCGGGGGAATGTGAGGTCCTCACTTAACAACCTGTGTGTTCCTCACTGAAAGATGGCATTGCTGTTGCTAAGCGATCACGTGATGTCGCATTTTACGACTGCTTTGCTTAGTGATAGAAATTCCAGTCCCAATTGCCGTCGTAACCTGAGGACTACCTGCAAGACTGCAAGAATGAACCATGGGAGAGATTGTTTGCAGAACACTAATGCCACTAAGGACAAAAGCAGTAATTAAACGAGATTAATTACTTTTTGAAAATGAGCAGATCCTTTTTTGAGTGTACTTCTACAAAAGTAAATGCTTAAAAATATTTAGGATGCTTCTAAAGGTAACTCTGCCCTGTCCAGTACTTTTTGCTACATAAGTCAGCAGTGATGATGATAAAATATCCTTTATCGTTTATTGAAATAATTTGTGTGACTGTCACTCACAGCAGTAACTGTGGGTGGTGTACAAGGACTAAACCAGAACTACGGCATCCACCTATGACTCTTTATCATCCAAGGTTAAAACCCCACATCAACAGCCAAAGTTGCTTAACGGTCTGGCCCAGACTTTTAGTATGTAGTACTTGCTACTGATCGATCGATTGACTGATCATGTGCCATTAACTTGTTGCTGATTTTAAGAATTCTGGCATAAGATTTATTTATTTATATTTATTTATTGCATTTATATTACCTGTTGCCCTTTGGTGAAGCCATGAAGACCTGGCTGTGTGTCCCGGTCTGGGCCCTGAGTGTGTGAAAGGCCCTGTCCCTGTTCCTTGGTTACATTAATACCTATAATTATATTTTTTTAATAAACGTGTGTGTGTGTGTGTGTGATGTTTGTAGTTTGAACTGATTTTATGATTATTCGCTGCGTGAAATTGCTTGCTTGAGATGAGAGGAGAATAGAAATTGAATAAATAAAAATTAAGCAAGTTTTTTTTTTTTTGAGTGTCTTCGTGGACGTGGAGCCCTCTAGGGCAGATTCACCAAGCGGTGGGGCTTCGGTCACAATCCCCTCACCCTAATTCCTCCCAAGGTAGCTGTTGTAAACAGATAGGATGTTGTGCAGCTGATGCAAATGAAGGTGCCCTTCCCACAATCTGGATTCATAAAATCCTAGAAGTGGAAGCGACCTTGAGGGTCTTCTAGTCCAGCCCCCTCCCCAAGCAGGAGTCCTTATACCTTAAAATGGCTGTCCAGCGTCTTCTCGAAAACCTCCAGCGATGGAGCAGTTGCAGGAGGCAAGCTGCTCCATTGATTAAGCATTAATGTCGGGAAAAGTTCATGAAGTTATGATGGTGGTGTTGTTGTTGTTGTTGGAAGGGACCTTGGAGGTCATCTAGTCCAATCCCCTGCTCAGGCACGAAACCTATACCATTTCAGACAAATGGCTATCCAGTCTCTTCTTAAAAACTTCCAGTGTTGGAGCCCCCACAACTTCTGGTGGCCAGCCGTTCCACTGGTTAATTGTTCTAACTGTCAGGAAATTTCTCCTTAGTTATAGGTTGCTTCTCTCTTTGATCAGTTTCCATCCATTGCTTCTTGTCCTGCCTTCAGGTGCTTTGGAGAATAGCTTGACTCCCTCTTCTTTGAGCCAGCCCCTGAGATATTGGAACACTGCTATCATGTCACCCCTAGTCCTTCATTAAACTAGACATAACCAATTCTAGCCACCGTTGTTCATACGTTTTAGTCTCCAGTCCCCTCATCATTTTTGTTGCTCTTCTCTGCACTCTTTCTAGAGTCTCAACATCTTTTTTATATCATGGTGACCAAAACTGGATGCAGTATTCCAAGTTGGGTCTCACCAAGGCATTGTAAAGTGATATTAACACTTCATGTGATCTTGATTCTATCCCTGTTAATGCAGCCTAGCACTGTGTTGGTTTTTTTGGCAGCTGCAGCACACGGCTGGCTTATATTTAAGCGATTGTCCACTAGGACTCCGAGATCCCTTTCAGTTACTACTATTGAGCAAGGTACCCCTTATACTATACCTGTGCATTTGGTTTTTCTTGCCTAAATGTAGAACCTTATTTTTTCACCATTGAATTTCATTTTGTTAGATAGTGCCCGGTGTTCAAGTCTGTCTAGGTCCTCCTGTATCTTAAGCCTGTCTTCTGGAGTGTTGGCTATTCCTGCCAGCTTGGTGTCATCCGCAAATTTGATGAGTTCCCCATCTATCCCCTCGTCCAGATCGTTGATGAAGATGTTGAAGAGCACTGGGCCCAGAACAGAGTCCTGGGGCACCCCACTACACACTTCCCTCCATGTACATGTGGTTCCATTGAGGACCACATGCTGAGTACAGCCGGTCAGCCAGCTACGAATCCACATTTTTCTATCTTATCAAGTAGTAGGTTGTGGTCTACTTTACCAAATGCCTTACTGAAGTCCAAGTAAATTATATCCACAGCATTCCTCTGGTCCATTAATTTTGTCACCTGGTCAAAGAATGTAATAAGATTTGTCTGGCATGATCTGTTTTTGACAAACCCATGTTGGCTTTTCGTAATGACTTTGTTTGCCTCTAGGTGTTCGCTGATTCGTTGTTTGATTATCTTTTCCAGAATCTTCCCAGGTATTGAGGTCAGGCTGATAGGTCTGTAGTTTCCTGGATCCATTTTTTTCCCTTTTTTGGAGATGGGAACTACATCAGCTCTTTTCCAGTCGTCTGGTAGTTCCCCAGTGCTCCAGGATCTTTGAAAAATATAGTTCAGTGGTTCTGAGATCACATCTGCCAGTTCCTTCAGAACCTTGGGGTGCAGTCCATCTGGTCCTGGTGATTTGAACTCGTCTAGGCTGGACAGGTGCTCACTTACCATTTTCTTGCCTATCTTAACTTGTGTCTATTCTGTTTTTTACTGTACTGTTTTTGATAGGTTGGGCTTTTTTCCCCCTTTGTGTAAAGACGGATGCAAAAAATGAGTTCTCCCTGTTGCTTGTCACCTTCTTGCCGCTTTCTCCCACTTTCTTCCTCAGTTCCGCTCCCCACTCTCCTGATTTTCTTTGATTTTAATCTTTGTTTTTAATTTATTCAGGTTTTAATGTAGATGTATTTTTATGTATGTAAGCTGCCCAGAGTTACCTTATTGTAAGATGGGTGGCCATTAAATTTTTATAAATAGATAAATAAGCTGGAGCAGAGGTTTTAAGGAGCATCTTTTGGAAAATAGATATTTGGAAGAATTAGCTTCCTGGATTTCATTTTGTGATTCTCCAAAGTATGTACTTGATGATGAAAATCCTTAATTTCATAACACATGGTCAGATTCAACCATGGTTTCAGCTGGGAAACAGTGACCATCCTAGACCAAGACAAGTCCAAAAATGTCAGAGAATTGCTGGCAGCCTGGCACTCTTTGACAGCAATCAGCATCCAGATGAGCAGAGATTAACACCAAGATTAACATTAGATCAACAACCAAGAAGCAAGCAATACCCCCAAGGAGGCTAACGGTAAACGGCCCAACCGAGGAACCACCAAGGCCGCTCCCACCGCCCACACTGACAGAGGACGCCACCAGGACATAAATTGAGAGCAAACCCCACTCTCTGCTAGCACTGATGACGTTACCTAGTTGGGTAATGAAACACCCGCAAGGAAACCACCAAGGAGCACCAAGGACCCCACCCCGTACTCACGTTTCGTTACGTCCACCTTGGGGGGAAAATGGCCGTCCTCAGTGCGTGATTCTCTTTTGCTCCCTTTCTTCTTTGCAGGCCTTTGTGCTCTTGAGTGATTTGCTCCTGATCTTCGGTCCCCAGCTGACTGACGGAGGGCACCCTGTTCTGCAGGAATTGGTCTTTCAGCCAGAGTCTGCTCTGCAGTCACAGCTGTCTGGCTTTCTAATGGACCGTGTCTTCTTCAACCACAGCCAAGCCCCGGAGGATGGTGTGCATGATCCTTGAAGCTGGGATTTGAGAGGTTTAGAGTAGAGTTTTTGAGTTAGTGGGTGAACACACTAATACCCCCCCCCCTCTTTTTAATTGGCTGATGAACTCAGATAGTGAAAACGGAGAGCTTCAGGTCGAACAGCTGCACCAGCGCCGTAATTTGCTGTCTGGATTCTGCAAATTGGTTGTCTATGGAGTGCTGGAACTGAGCGCTGCTTCAGATGTCTTCAAGTATTACTCTAAGGTATGCAAGGCTGGATGGGAAGGCGTAGGGAATTTGCCCTGGACGTATTCAGCGCCAGTCGTCATTCCAGTTTAACTGTTCCATGCCTTGCCTCAGGAGTCGCTCCAGCTGTTTCTAGAGCTTCTAGTTCTGTGTCTCCAACATCCAAAGAGGATGTTGGCTGTGCAGAATTCAAGTTTCCTGGATGGGATGGGTGGAATTCCAGGTTATTGCAGGGACTGACTGAAATTTCGGAGAAATCTGGAGCTTAAAGGAAATGCTAAAAGATTGAAGAAGATCCAATGCTGTTCCTAACTTTAAAGGAAAAATGTGGACTTGGGAGGTGGTGGTCAAACAGCTTGATATCATCAGTAGGTCAGAAGCCCCTAGGGAAAAAATGAGTGGTGGGTCTGCAGGCTCTTAGACAGGAGCAGGGCCACGACTGGAAGCCGGCAGAGTTTTTTTCTAAAAAAATATGTGCAATATCAAAGGGCATCCTGAATCCCAATAACTTTCTTAACTGTTGACCTAGAAAACTTGATTTAAATATAAAAATCAAACCTTAACTAAGAAAACTTACTTTTAAAGAATTTTAATTTTAAAGTCAAATCTGATGTATCTTTTAAGGAGAAACTTCCTTAACAGTGAGGACAATTAACCAGTGGAACAGCTTGCCTTCAGCAATCTTGGGTGCTCCACTTACCTGAAATGATATAGGTTCTCCTGCTTGAGCGGGGGGGCTGGACTAGAAGACCTCCAAGGTCCCTTCCAGCTTCTATTCCTATTCTATTCTATTCTTCCATTCCATTCCATATATTCTATTCTATTCTATTCATTATTTTTTGACAAAGTGATGACTGGATTACAGGTAGTCCTTAATTTGCAACCATTTGTTTAGCAACTGTTCAAAGTTAACAACGGCACTGAAAAAAAGTGACTTATAACTGGTCCTCACATTTACAGCCGTCACATCATCACCGGAATGATGCGATCAAAATGTGGGTGCTTGGCAACTGGCATGTATTTACGGCCATTGCAGCATCCCGGGGCCACCTGGCTGCCATTTGCCACCTTCCCAGCCGACTTCTGACATGCAGAGTCAGTGGGGGGAGCTGGGTTTGCTGAGTGATTGCAGGATTCACTTAACAATTGCTGTGATGTGACAGAATAACAGAGTTGAAAGGGACCCTGGAGGTCTTCTAGTTCAGCCCCCTGCTCAGGCAGGAGACCCTGTACCGTTTCAGACAATTTGCTTAATAACTGTGGCAAAAAAGGTCATAAAATCTAGCATGACTCACTTAACAACTGCCTTGCTTAGCAACAGTCATTCTGATCCCAGTCGTGGTCGAAAGCCAAGAGCCACCTCTGGCAGACCGGGAATCTGGCCGTCTGGGTGAAAAGCACCGCTGCCCCTGGAGCCCTGAAGAGCAGGCAGAGGGCAGCAGAAACCACCCATTCAGCGACACGGACAATCGCCACAGACTTCCATACGGCTTCACAGGGCCCTTTACAGCCCACCCTGAGCGGTTTAATAGAGTCAGCCTATGCCCCCTCCCCACCACCACCATCTGGGTCCTCATTTTACCGACCTCAGAAGCCTGGAAGGCTGAGCCAGCCTGGAGCCGGTGAGAGTCGAACTGCCAAACTGCTGGCAGCCAGCAGTCAGCGTGCGTTCTGACCACTGTGCCACCACCAGGGCTCTTCATAATAATTACTTTTGTTTTAGCATAAAACTTTGTGTATGTAAATGTATTCTTTCTCTACTGTTTTGGCTGTTTTATTATGTAATTAATAAAAAAAACAAAAACCAAGGAATCCAGGGTTGCATTTTTCCTACCAGTTCTATGATGACTACGGGGACATCATCAAAGAAACTCTGAGTCAGACTCGCCAGATTGACCGAATGGAGTGGGCCCACACGCTGCTCCTCAGCCTGCAGCAGGTAAGGGGTGCCGCCTCGCAGCGGTGGTGGGGCTGCTGGAGAACGGAGCCCAGCTGGTGGCTGGCAAGGTCTCTCTTTGCTCCCAGTTGCTGACCCAGCTCTTCTTGGAAGAGGGACCGGGGGCCACGGACTCGGCAGCCTTCCTGGAGATCCGGGACTTGGCACGGCGGTTCTCTCTGCTGTTTGGGCTGCACCAGCTACAGAACCGCTCAGCTCTGGTGGCTCTGCACAAGTGAGGACGCTCTGGAGGTGGCCAGGGAAAGGAGGGCTGGGGTCCAGTGCCCATGGGAAGGCCGGTTCGGGGGGGGGGGAGTGGAGGTAGCTGGGCCATCCTGACAGCGTCTTCATTCTAGGGATGGTATAAAATTTGCCTTTGAGGAGCCAGCATCCCCAAACCCCAAGCTGGGTCTCATCAACCTGCCCTTCTTGGAACTGCTGAGTGAATTTTCCCCGAGGCTGTTGCCTCCGGATAAGGCCCTGCTGTGAGTAAAATGGCTGGGGGGGGGGAGGCCCCTTGGGGGAAGCTTCCTTCCCAGCTGAAGCCATCCTTTTCCTCGCGCCCGCAGCCTCGCCTACTTGAAGAAGACGGGCCGGGCTCATTTCTCAGAGAGCAAAGAGGAGCCCTGCTGGCCCTCCCTCCTGGTCTATCGGCACTCCCTCAGCCCCCAGGAGCAGGCAGCCCTCCAGCCTCGCCCTGCCGCCTCCAAGAGGGGACATTTGAACGGTGGGTGAGGGGGCACCTGAGGAGGGAGCTCTGTAAGGAAAAGGAGCCCGGTGGGTTTCTGGAGAGCGAGCCGAGGGTGGAAACCGGTCTGTCTGGGGCCCTGTTTTGCCAGGATCCTCCGAGCACAGCGGCAGCACCAGCCTCGCCTCAGGTAGCCGCCTGCACACCCCCCTGCTGACTTCCACCGCCCTGAGGGCCAAGCGCCCAATGACGGGGCCCCCGCTGGGAGACGAGGGCTCGGAAGCCGAGTTTGCCCAGAGGTGAGAGAGAGGCCGGTGGGCGAGAGGGACCTCTGGGGCTCCAGCTGCCTCTTGGCCAGAAAGGCAGCTGGGCTCTACCAGCCCTGCCGGTTGGGGAGGCCGGGGGGACCACAACAGAGGGGCTGTTTGTGGCAGAGCCGTGTTTTGACCCCTTCGCGGAAGGCCCAGAGATGGGGGGCTTTCCTCCCCTCCACAACGAAGGGGCAGCGTCAGAGACACCCCCTGCCAATCAAAATTCTGTCGTTAGGACGGAGGTGGAGGCTTTGCTCTGTGGTGCTGCAGGTCCTTTCCCCCCTTCCCGCCCAAACCTTCCTTCTGCAGGGCACCCTACATCGGCACTGCCAAGCAGCTTCGTACCCGGCTGGGCTGGTGATGTGGCGAGACCCTCGGGACGGGCTGGGGGGGGACAGGCGCAGGAGGAGCAAGAGAAGAAGGGCCGTGTGCAGTTCTGGAGGGGGTTTGCGTAGTTGTGCGGTTCTCCTGGACTCACAGCTCCCGCTTGAGCAGCCGGAGGCCCAGCGGGGGCAGCCTTTGCCCAGCTGCGTCTGGTGGGCCCATTGCCCATCCTCCCTGGAGGTGGCCCTCGGGGCCCCTTGAGCGGAAGCTTGTTCCACTGCCAAGCCTGTTTCCTTGGAGCTCCGGCTCCTCGGGCCCAGCCTCTGCCCCTCCCCGTCCCCCCCCCGAAGAAGCAGAGGAAGGAGGCGCGCTCCCAGCCCCTTCCCCTCCCTGACTGAGGCCACATTGTGCAGAGTCAAAACCAGGTGCCTGTTTGCGGTGTTTTGCTCCCTTCTCCACAGCCAGGACCAGTCAGTGCTGGGGGGGGGGGGAGGGTCTGGCCTGGCTAGCCCCCCTCCCCTCAACCTGTGCACGGAGCTTGTAGATTGAATCCCAGGATGAGAGCCAGTCTGGTGGTGCAGCCCTGAGCAGACCAGCAGTTGGTACCAACAGAAGGGAGTATTTTATAGAACAGCAGTTTGAAGGTGAACTCAACTCGGTGCAGGCAGGCAGCCCAGACAGTAACAAAGCTTTTGGGAAAGAAAGGAACGTCTGGTTGACTTGAGAGCCTTTGGGCGTCGCTCGCTTTTGTCTTCTGGCTTGCTGAAACTTCAGGAAACGTTTAGAAACGCTGAAAACGCTGGGTGGGGGGGTGGTTGGCCCAGTTTTCTCCCTGGGCCCTTGACGAGGGCAGGTTCTGCTGAAAGGGCAGCTGGAACCAGGAACTGTGGCGGCTCCTTCTGGCTCATTAACTAGAGAGCCCGTGTGCACCGCTGCCCTTTCACACACACACCCTTTTCCCATTCATGCTTAGGAAGTAAAACTGGTATCTCCTAGGCTCTAGTGATGGCTTTTCTCCCAGCAGGCCCCCTTTTTTGTTTTTGACAACTACACACCCCAAAACAAGGAGGTTAATTCTGCCCTTGGAGGGAGTGTGTGTGTGCACAGCCCTAGCTTCTCTCCCCTCTCCAACTTCTGTGGGGAGAAGGCCTGGCTGCAGAGGCTGCAGTACCCAAAGCCTGGTGTGCTTTTTGTGCTGCCAAACCCTTCAGCGTTTGGGGCGACCGCTGGCAACTACCAAACAGCCACCGAGAAGGGCAAAATCTGGGCCGGGAGGGCCCAGGTCCTTTCTGCCCCTTGGAGGCCTGGTCTGAAAGCCTGCCTGGGTTTTTCTCTTCCCAGGCTGCACCTGATTGAAGAGCCGGAGAACAGCCAGGAGGGAGAGGTAACTGGTTTGGTTTTCCTGTGGGAAACGGCTGCCATAGCTTTAGGACTCCTTTGGCCGAGTAGCAAAAACAGCTTGAACATGCAGAGCAGCTGTGGGGAAGGGATTTTAAAACTGGCAAAAAAAGCAGCACGCCTTCAACTGCAGCATAATTAGCCTATGGAACACCCCAAGAACGGATAAGAAACGTGTATAGATCTCTCTGAAAACAGGAGAGTAACTTTGCTAGGCCAAGGAAGTGGTTCTTATCGGGGATTCTGTTTCCGGGAAAAGGCCGGCCTCTTGTGTCCACGGAGAGGCTGCTTTCCAGCCCTGGGGGGGGGAGTTATGGGGGAGTTCGGGTGCTGCCCAGAGCATCCCTGAAGCCGCCTCAGAGCCTTGAATTGAGTGGCAGAGAAAGGGAGTTATTGGCTCTACCTCTTTCCCTGCAGGTTTCCTCGGAGGGGGTCTCTTAACGCCCCCCAAGGGGGCGGGGGCTATAAATTCCTGGAGAAGAACCTTTGGGGTAGATTCCCCTGCCAAGTATCATCTTCTGTGTTCTTATTTTGCTCCTGCTGTATAGAATTTGCTTTCTTCTCTGGTTTGCACACTTTATAATGGGGGCCACGCAGAATGTCTCCTGGTTTCATGGCTTTTGCTGTTTATACTTAATTAGTTAAAAAATAAAGCTGTTTAATTTGGAATAACAAGGAGTAGCCTATCCTGCATTGAGTCGGATCACGTAGGACTCGCTGTGAGTCACATACCTCACCCACCGGTGAGGAAGAGTCGGCTGTGGTCCTGTGAAGCGCAGGAAGCGGATTTGCAGCCCAGAGCAGGTGTGGGCTGGCATCTCGAAAGACAGGTTGACCGGTCCCAGCTCACGCAGTCCTGCCTGGGTTAGCCCTGGAACCTCCAGCTGCCAAAGGAGAGATCAGGCGGTCTCGGGACAAGGAGGGGGTGCCCAGCCCCTCGTCCTCCCCACAAGGAAGCCTCAAGACCCCACGGGGCAGGCTTGCGCCTCGGAAACCTGATGGCTCTTTACCTTAAACATGGCAGAAAGTTGAGAGCCACCTTGCATTCTGGGGACAATCCACTCAATAGATTTGGTGGTGGGCTGCAAAATGGCCGTCTGCTCAGGGCTGCTCAACTCCTGAGAAAAGCTGTAAAGGAAGACCAGAAGATCCAGCAGAGTCCACGGGCCGGGCAGCAGCGAGAGCCCCCCTCCCTCCCCCCCCCTTTGCAGAACGGTAGGCCAATGGCTAACTCACCTCAGTGTAGTTTTCGGAACAGGCAGATGGATGTGAAGGTTGACAGCATGGCTACAAAAAATTAGAAGGTTAAGCTGAGAGAAAGAGGCAAAAGTCTGTTCCCCCTTCAGAGGACAATAAAGGGATTCTTACTTTTTGGGAAATAAATCGCAGCGAAGCTTGAGATAAATTTGCACCCTGCCAAGGAAAAAAAGATGGGCACGTGTGATGAGCCCACACCGGCGTAGCGTTTTGAAAAGAAGCCTGGCCGACAAGCACGCTGCCACTCACCGGCCACAGGAGCCGTGCCGAATGGTGGGAAACAGGTGGAAGGGCAGGGCGGCAGGGATGTCATCAGCCAGCTGGTACTGCATCAGAGTCAGCTGCTCAAAAAAGCAATTTTGCAGATTTTATTTATTTTATTTTATTTACACTAACTTCTATGCCGCCCTTCTCCCCACGGGACTCAGGGCGGCTCACAGCATGTTAAAAAACAACACAAAAAACATTTCCCCTATAAAACCAATTAAAACCAAATATATTAATGGCTGTGTCATTATTAAAATGTTTAAAAATTTTCCCTATTTAAAATTCACCCTAGGTCAGTCCCGCTTGTTGAAAA